AACATCATCCAAATTAAACGAACACACGTGGTTTGTTCTGTTGCATGGCTAACAACGCTTGTGTAGCTTCATGTTGCTGTTGGAGAACCAACTGAGAAGCGTGCGCTTTTGGTTGCATAAAACCAACAATCTCAGTGTAATGTGATGATTCATCTCTATGCGTTGGATCAGCGAAAGAAGACGAATAACCGTCACGAGGATGAATAGACGAACGATTATCACCAAACCCATCTCCAACATTATCTAGACCTTGTGGGACAGAAGCAACAATTGGTCGTGAGTGTGAAGCTGGTTGTGTACTAGTCCCGAATAGAGTCATTGAAGACGAAGCAACACCATTACCACCACCAAGTGAAGTGCCGATACGCCCTCTCCTTGAGCTGACACTAGCATTGTGACCAGGACGAACATGATCGAAAGACAATTCCATATATTGTAATTCATTTACATTCGGAACTGTGCTTGGAGACATTTCATTCGAAGTCTGAGCATAAACCAAATCATAAGTGTAATCAGGAACATCTTTGTAAATGTTATTTGGTAGTCCAGCCCCAGTCCCAGATAGTGTGGTAGTAGGGTAAGCACCACTAATTCCAGTTACGGGACTGTTCAGTGGATTACCTTGTCTAAGTAAAGCTCCGCCATCTGGTTGTTTCTGAAATGATATTATTAATATAAACTGTCAGTAAGCAAAGCGAAATTAACCAAAGGTAGAAAAGAACACAAACGACATTTTATGACAAAATCATTAATTTAGCTACAAGACAGATAACTAACTGAATAACTGAACATTTACTAACTATTTTCAAAAACATATAGAGCATCGAACGGAAGATCTGAAGTGCATGACATCGGTCACCACCCAGTGATTAATCAGTTGTAAATACATCTTAGTCCAACAGGATGTCAGTCGTGGCCCGGATAGCTCAGTGGTAACGTCTCCGGCTGTGAAGCCGGAATGGAACCCGTTATGGAACATTAGTTCTCTACAGATTACAGGCACACCTTGCTGACGATGGCCAAGTAGCACGAAACCGAGGCTCAGGGATTCCTGTCGAATACCTTCAACCACCATATTATCTCAACATAGTGCACACAATGTCGAATCACCTAGACTAGTGGTCACATTGCAACTTGATCGATAGGATTCGATCTGCATTAAAAAGGACCTGACAAAGATGACATTAATCACCACCAGTGATCAATCAATTGTGGAAGAAAAACCCCATACAATTTAATATGTGTGTGCACAACAAGAAGCCATACGACACACCATGTAAAATATAAACGAAATGACTAGGAAATTTATACAAACATTTATTAGTTATTAATTTATAAGGAAAATACAGCGTCATTACTAAAGGGAAAGCACACGTAACAGAAAGATAAAATTGATTTCTCTCAATATCAGAACACAAAAACAACATGCTTATTAAAGTACGAAAGAGAATGGTTAATTGAAACATAAATCCGAAAACGACCCATTTGTATATTTTTTGTACGTGTTTTAATCTTGATCACAATTATATCACCAAATACTATATATATATATATATATATATATATATATATATATATATATACGATGTGAATTACGTTAAAAATTCTTAAAAAGTATATTCAACCATTGAAGTTTGCTTAGAGTATAATGATCAGACGATAAAATTTGACCATATTTTGTTTGACTGATTATTGGTGAATCAAACCTGAATGAGTTCATGTAGCATTGTTAGACATGAGATGGTTAGAAATCAATGCTAAATCATTACATGGATATATTCGTTTTACTTCCTTACTGTTACGACCTCTCTTGATACGACTTAGCCACTATTATGGTTTAGTATTTTTAAGGACACTACTTCAATCGACACGTCCGTAAATCAGAACATGGTTAAACAAGAACATAAATATATTTTCAATAAACAAGGTTGAATGGGTGTAGGAATCACAATAAAACGTTAGTATATTGATGGTTTTATACAAGAAAACTGAGTTTTTTCCAAGTATCCGATAGCGCTGATCGGCTAAGAATGTCTAATCAGAGTGCCTAAACACAATTTTGCACGTTAAAAGTCATAATCCAATCCACATCCGTCAACAGTTAGATTGTACATTTTATCCTTTACATCGCATTCTCTAAGTCAAATTTTTTCCCTTTCGATTCCTAATACTATCATTATTTTTAAATATTTTATTCTTCATTCATCTTGTTAATGTGATAATTGGATGTGGCAATCTTAACTGATGTAGGTTTGTGACAGTTTACTACGTTAATTATAACTAACTGACTGACTACATCATACCACCTGTCACCACAAATTTTAATAATTCTAAAATCATCTGAAATTCAAGTTTACCTATCACCGAATGAATGAACGTAAAGTAAACAGAAAATATTTGAAGAGATCGAAACAAGACGCATATATATATATATATATATATATATATATATATATATATATATATATGCGTCTCACATGGCCACGCGAATATATAGCATCTGTCAGGGAAGTCCTACTCACTGCCTCCTCGTGGCGGGGTGTTATTTACGAAACTGAGAGGACGAAAAGCGAATGTCCGGCGCTTTAATTGGGTTGGTGTACATGGAGGGTCCACCTAGGGGAGTTGGAAACCCTGATTCCAAACCAATGGTGCACATGGGCTCCAGCATCCTAAAGGAACGAATGGCGTATGAACCAACTGTTGGTCACCGGCTACCATGGGACTGCATCTCCTCACGATGCTCCACTGCATTGTGGACTAGACCTTTAGGTCAAAGGCTCCGGGTGTGGCCCCCTAAGAAAACCACCTGCTTCAGTTTGGGCACCTGGGCAGTATCACAGCCCTCACACAAATCAAATGAGATTTGTGAGGCGCATATTTATCTGGTGCTTTTTGTACCAATATTTATGTGTTTAAATAATAATAATAATAATAATAATAATAATAATAATAATAATAATAATAATAATAATATATATATATATATATATATATATATATAATTGTAAAATGTTCAATCATCAGATATGTAAGAGTAGAAAGTCAATGAGATCACTTTTTTGAAGTTCAATTATGTAATAATGTATTTTAGAAATGGTTCTAATTATATCAGATATGAAAAAATTGCACGAAAATATAATACGACTTATGTCGTGTTAGGAACGTTTTATGAGTGACTTCAATTAGTGAGTAACAGTGGAATATTAAGGATGTACTTTATCGTCATCAACTTGAATGTGCGATTAAAATGCAGTGATGATGTTCACACTGACACACAGAGGTATATGGTAAGCGGCGCTCGAGAATTTTATATACATCAACAAATATTATTAACTTAAAATTGAACATCGACAATTAGAGGATACAAACATTTATAATTAATGATAACCATTGAGACTGATTGATAGTGGCAAGGTAGTATAATCTAAACATTATATTAAGAAAACAATGGAGGAAATAAGAAAACCATTTGTCAACAAACATTTAGTTCCACTAATTAACGATACACAAGGGAATAGGATGTATATTATTCATGGGATGAATATTGAAAGTCACTTATGTGTGTGCTTGTGAGTAATACTATTCTTCCCATAGGAAGACAACAATATTATCGTAAACGATTAAAATCGTTATCAAATATTATTCAGTTAGCTAACACTGACTAAATAATTGTTTCACTTAAGGTTGAATACAAGCTTCAAAATTATCTAAATGATCACATAATACAAGTTTCATTATTAATTTTTTGACAACCGTACACTATATATCCAGTGAAATTTCACAATAATAACTATTCAAGGAGAGAGGACTTGTCTACTTGAAAACTTGTTAACTTACCAATACGGGGTAAAAGGCGGTAGATTAATAAACCTTTTGTAAAAAAGATAACTACTCGTACCTCGACTGACCAAACCAGAATAGAAAGGATAAGAAATTTCAACTCTCTTAAATGTACTCAGGATTTTGTTCAACAATAAAACATATTGGAATTAATAAATCACTAAAATGTGAACAATTTAGGTCCCAGTCTGCCTCGTTTGTATTGAATGGTAACAATTGCGTGAATGAATTCATGTTTTGGTTTTTAATGAAACAATTAGAATTTGAAGAAAAGATATAACTAAAATTAAACTACTTCAAACCAATGAAATAGTACAATAGTTCAGTAAAACATTAACTGATCAATATAACTTGAGCTCTAGGAAATACATTTAAAGGTATATGACAGCTAATAATAATAACTGGTTGGCTAACATGAAACAGATGAGAGTGTTTGAACTTGAGACCTATTGATTAGTTATTAATAAAGAACAGACTAGCCAGTGTGATTAATGTATATAAAAGGTATACTAGAATTGAACATGCCAAACTTTTTTGACTATATATCTAATCAATTGTAAACGGATTAAATAAATTCATAGCACCTTAATGTCGTGAAAACACTTGACTAGATTCATTTTTCATATATACATTTATAATAACTAACGTAAGCCGATAGAAGACAATCAGTAAGAAAAAAAACTATCAATATCTCCAAAGATTGCAGATACCTCTTAGTGACATGCAATAAATAGCGAGACCTAGGTCATACAGTGTTCATATTATTTGTATCTAGCTACTCAACATAAATACCAAGGTCTTTATATCATACTGATCAGTATGATATATATAGCCCAAGTATTATTATTATTATTTATTTATTTAAACACATACATATTGGTGCAAAAGAGCACCAGATACATATGCGCCACACAAAATAATGAAAATAGGAAGAGAAAGGATGAAAAGATAAGGGGAACTGAAATGTACAACCGGAAGACTCTTTCAGCTAAGAAAGTTAGAACCACTCTTTATGAAGAAAATAAAAGAAGGTTACAGCAGGACCGCCACTGGCTTCTATTCTGAGCCGTATCTGATAACGTCTCTAGCCACTGTGTTGCACTATCTCTCGGACTCCAGCCAGGGAGTCGTGAAAAACCAACAGAAGCTAGCCCGTTGCAGCTTTCTTTCATGCCACGACAGCATGTCATACACTGACCCATTTTTATTATACTTTTCATTGGTAATACAACTGGTAATATGTAGTTATTTCACAAACATCAATATTTTCTTCTTTGTATTTATTCACTTTATGAATTTAAAGTGAATTAAAATAAAAAAGACTAAATAGACAATTCCTTTTTTTAAAGTAATAATTAACATCCATAAGAAAAATAAAGCACCGAACATCTTTTTGTTCTACTTTGAAATTTGACAACAACAATGCGCGCCTAATCCAAGTGATACGAAGCTAAACTTTTAAGTTTTTCATAAATGAGTATGAAAATTAAAAACTGTCAGATTGATAAGAATCAATTTGCAATATAACACAATATTTATTTTATATTATCGATGAGATATTTCTTTTACTCTCATCTCTATTAATTGTCCGCTTTTCACATGGTGTTGAGAATAGGATTATCGGAATTCATTTCCATGGTTTCATACAGACTTTTTTTTGTACAAATTGACATGATGATCATTACTTTTAAAGAAAATTTGTACATATTAATTTTTTCCAGTAAATTTTACAGATTAACCAAATTAAAATACTAATTTTTTTATTGCTACACATGATTCATCAAGAAAGGTACAATGATTTAAGAGCCAATGTTACTTCTTCAGTGACAAACTTCCTAACTGAAGATGTACATTAGAGTAAATCAGGGACACGAAGTCATTGTTTTTACAGTTGAGTCAATAAGTTGAAATAAAATAATAAGTACTTTTCGATTTTCAATTTTCTCAAAAAATAAACTTAGTCGTAATTAATAGGTTACAAGGTTTGATTAGGAATAGTAATTGGGAATTATAATCTAATGAATAATTGACATAGTGATATAATAGGAAACATAATGATGCAACCGCAATCCTAGAGGAAATCGGAAGTGTAATAATACTAAGAGTGGTTACAAATGTAAATTTAATAGATAATAAACACTTTCAAAATGTTGAGTTAATTTATAATGACAACATCAGACAAACTGATGATAAAATATAGTTTTATAAAATTCTAACAATAATGAATTTTTATTTCAGAATTATCAAATTAAACTTAATTATAGAAAGGATGTTTATCATCGACAGTTGAACAATAAACCCCCTGAACACCTAACTAATAAACTGGTATCATTTTCAAGTAACACACGTTTTATACAAATGCAGTGAAGGCGGAACAGCACAAAACTACTCATCATCTCTATAAATGCACAACAATCAAAGTGTATTAAAGGAAGATGAAGAAATCAGCCTATATGACAACAGAGATGTACAAGCATTTTTAATTTTCTACTATCACGACTAGTAATATTTGTATGTGTGTGTGTATGTTAATCCTGTTCATTGCCACTACTACATCAAATACTTTAGAGAACTTAAATTAATGAACTAAACAGAACAAAGGAACATGCAAATAACCAGGTGAAAAATTATAATTGTCTAAAATAAAATGTGTACAAATAAGCAAACAAGTGAATTACAGCAACCGACAATACTAACAACAATAACAAACAATTAGTTAACCAAAAAAATACATGCAACCGTTTCCATCATCCACCTACCAAATTTAAATTTTCAACTAAACAAAACTGGATAATCATACATTAGAAATTGTGAACTGCCCTCGCCCCGAATAAACCAACTAAAAAAAGATATCACAATGCATATCTATGTATCCACAAAAATACAACAGTAGAAGTGGGAATATATTATTGAAAGTGAGAAATTCTTTCTGAAAAAACATTTCGTATTAACATTAGAAATCAAACTGAAAAGATTGACAGAATGTGAAGAACAAGAAAAGGAAATGTAATGAAGACAAAAATGAGAGGAAAATCTCACTGTCCATGAAAAACAACATGGTAGTATGATTACAGATTTTTTGTGGCAAACTTATACAAATAGAAAAAGATGCAGGAAGAGAAAGTTGACGCTGGAACAAACGGAGACTTCATGTAGGCAAAAAGTACAAGCATTCATCCACTTATATGCTAATGTTATATAAATATGATGTGCTGAACAATGTAGTATTACCTGAGTCAATTTTTTTTATATCTTACAATGATAAAATATACCACTTTTAGTGAATACAAAAATTCACATTCACAATGTGATGTAATATAATGCACTGTCCTGTGCTGAAAGTACAGTAACGTCCAAGTAAACTACAATTTTATATACAAATACAATATATGAAGTAAATTATCCTAATACTTTTCACATTTTTATGTTATTTTACATTAGATTGAATTTATTGTGTAAAAAAAGGAAATACTAGTGTCACACAGACATTTAAATTGTTTTGAACAACTACAGTATTAAATATTAATTTGAAAGAGTTACTACTACATATAGATAAATCAATAAATAAGTAGTAACACTACAGTTTTGCTAATGAGTTATTTAAAGAAACCTAAGGTTATAAAGTGAACATACACACCAACAATTAAGAGAGAAGAAACAAAAGTGACAAAATAATACGCGACAAATTAGGTAGAGAAAAAGAAAACAAAAACAAAGGGTAAATAGAGAGATGGTGGGCGGAAAAGGAGAGTGTCAACGACCAATGAACGTTCAACACTGAGTAATTCGTAATACTTCCTCGTATTGTTCTTGTTGGTGGCTACCATTCAGTGGTTGAACCTTTATTCATCAAAGAAATGTCATATTGTTTTTTCGAGAAAAACAAACAGATTAGATGGAAATATAGAATATATACATACGAGAGAGTCAGTGAGTGAGCAATGTTAGTAGTAGTACAACACATATTAATAGTAATAAGAACGAAAAAGGTGTTAAAAATAAAACACACATCAAAAAAATAGATAGGGGAAATATATATAACCAACAACATAACCGGGTGATTAGTCATGAACATTGATATTGGAGCATCAAGAAACAACATACACATGTATTTTAAACAAATAGGTAATGAAAGAGCATGCAACAAACAAATCGTAATTAAATGATGTAACATTATCAAGAGAAATGTATATTGATCGAGGGATAGAAAGAGATATAAACATATGCATACAGATGTTGGATGAGTTTTGTAGGTTGAATTGGACGGGGAAAACAGATGAAAAGACAAAACAATAATTATAAGTTCATTAAAGTGAACAATGTATGATTCAACAAAAAAACAGTATTAATGATGTGTCCAAAACGAAAAACAATAATAACACTTAGTTGCTATTTATTTGCCTATTGTAAACATCAACAACTTGATGTTTATTTACTGAATCTTAGATCTGAGTAGCAGATTAGAACTCCATCTTGATTCCATGTGAGCGAGTGGGCAGTGTTTCTAATCGTCCGACGATATGTACACACGAACTATGCACTTGGTAGACAATGTTACATTCTTTATTATAATTAGGATTTAATTTTTACAAGCTGATAGATTTGGAATATAGTATACATTTAATGAAAGGATCTTATCAATTACACAAATCGAGCGCCTCTGATAGTTGTCCATTATCGTAATCTTCATATTTATATGAGTTTTGATAACCAACTGTTACTTAAATATTCCTTTCAACAAAATGAAAAAGTTTTTAACAGCTCCTAAAGTGCTTAACATCCAGTCACTATTTTGATCCCTTGAAGTTCATACAAGTGATACGTTTTTTAACTGTACCAATGAAAACTGAGTGTATACACAAATTTCTAAATATATATCAAATGGAATATACAAGCAGCGTGTGAAACCTCTCTAAAGTAACTTAAAAATACTATCGACTTCCATACATAATTTGTTTGTCAGGAGTACGACTATCACTTTATCAGTAAGTAGATTAATTTCGAATATCTATCAGCTTAGAACAGTGATAAATCGAAGAGAACAATATCACAACACATTATTAAAAACAAATATACTGACACAACCGCAGAGAGTGGAATTGAAAGATAACTGTCAGTCAATAATATCGCCGACTATCTCCAGTCACTGACTTTTGCTAACTCCATCTCGGTAGCCTAGGTAGATTTCACTCTCATGACTCAAACACAGAGTCAGATTATTTTCGTGACAATACTTGGTGACAGTTAAATCTGATCTTACATTTATGATCTTGATTTTATCCTAATACATATTGGGGAAATATATATTATTCTATATTATACATAATTCGAGAATACAAACGAAACATTATCTATTTTAGGAAGAAAGAATTAAGTAAGAAGTGAAAATATCTGATAATTATTCCCAAGTGACTGTCAGCATTTCACGACAACAGGTCACTATTTCTATTCAACTACGAAGAAATATTTTTGTATGTTACGTAACAATCAAACACTATGATAAACCAATTGAAGTTTACTTTGTCGGTAAAAGGCAGATCTAAATATATAAATATATGACCTATTTGATAGGTACGTGGACTAAGCTACTAAATCTTTGGAGAAACTGAGGAAAAATGGAAATCTTAAAGAATTTTAAAAGCTGTTTATGAAAGTAGCATTTTGGAGAAGATTAGTGTTCGTTAAGTGCACCAGCTGTTACACCAAGAGTCGTGAAAACTTCAGTGATAATGCATAGCAGAGAAACCGTCAACCTCCTCTTGTGTTGATGGAAGCATAGAACATGTATGGTTTATTAAGCCATTTAATTGCCTAATCTCAGTCTAAGTAAACTGAACCTAAGAAAATTATCTTTGAACACGCTATTAGATGAGTGTGAAACCATAAGGTAGATGAAAAGCCTAACATCTAAGTATTTAAAGAGATGTTTTGAACAATGGAAACGAAGATAAGACAAATGTTTTGCAACAACTAAAGAGTATTTTCAAAGCGATAAGATTGATGAATGAACCTTAAATTATTTAAAGCTATGACCTGTTGTGAATTGATTCTCCGATCTGTTCATAAAGGTCATTACCATATGTATAACTAAGTTCGCGATGAATGCGGAAAAGGGAAAACGCAGTACTTATATAAACACCACTCTAGGAAAATACACAGTGATCATCCACAGACCTACAAAATGTAAAGCATTTCTTGAGGCGAATCAACAATTATGAACGATGATAATAAGTGTAATAATTCATCTAGACGTAGAGTACGGTTCGGTGACGACATATACACACATAAACTATACAACAGAGATCAGTATACCCCTGGTTTTTTATATTTATATAGACTACAAAACTAAACAGTTATCGAGAGCACAATCATTATAGCGTTATCAAAAAGTGATATTTTGTTCCACAACCCCGAAAATACCAGGAAAATCACAAGTTCGAGAAAGGTATTATTTTAAGATTAGTTAAATTTAAAGATGATTTTTCTCTATAAAATACTATCAACTACAAAAACCACAAATAACTGGAAATTACTTGACCTTTTTATTGGAGTTTTAGCATTTGTACGAGTGAACACCTATGACTCTTTAAAGGACCCACTAGGGTAAGGTGCACGCTACAACCAAACAAAACTTCCGTTCATTAGTGTTAAACTTTGTGATGGATTTAAGAAATTCAGGTAGAAAACCATGAACCCTGGAACTAACTTGTTAGGAGTAAGACTGACAGCATTAGATAAAAATTGAGAGATAAGGGACATCCAATTCACACTAAGATGTCTTAATGAATTGTGAATGTACAGAGACCTGAACAACCTGTATCGTTTTTTATATTGAGCTTCTGGCTGAACATTGCTAAAACGTTTTAAACTAAGATGAAACAACTGTCCAACAGTCCCTGATTCCCAACAATTCTTAGGCTGATAGATGTCCATGAAGAAACTTATTATCGAACGTAATTATTACAAAGATTTACATTAAAAATGTGTGGGTCAAGACTAAGATAATATATGATGCGAGTTCGTTTTCCCCGGACATAGGTAAACAAACAAGAATCAGATATTTATGGGTTAAATTACAGTCTAACTATCGACTTTATAAACACAGGATCTTGATGCATGTGGAGTTTAACCATATTAATTGGACGCAATAACATAATAAGTGGTTAGAGGATAAAAAGAACTTCAAATCAAGTGGAAAAAAGCGAAAGATATGTTATAAATATATATGCTAACAGATGGTTCCGTGAATAAACATTTCAAGTAGATTTTAAAGACCACAGCTACAATCAGTTATATTTTTAGATTTTTGAGAAAACCAAAAAGACGATTTAATGAGAAGGAAAAAAAGGAATACGATGAAGCGAACATCAATAATTGTATACACACATACACACACGCATGTACAGTTATACGTACCGTACTGAATAAATAACAACATTTAGATGTAGCAATTAATTAATAAATTAATGATAGAAAATAAATTATTTGAAACAAAACTCACTACACATAACCAAGTCTGTGTAATCTTAGTGGTGAAGCGTTGAATTAGGGAGCGATGTTACCTCAATTATATAACATCATTATTATACAAGCAAATAACAAAAACAAACGGCATTCTCCTTATACAGCAACCACGCTTTACTACATTTCGTCATAGGTTAATTAAAAACCAAACACTTTTTCATATTGAACTAAACTTATCCATCCATTAATATAAATGATAGAAACGGTTACTTACTATTTAGGTCATGTTTAAGAAATATACAAGTATACTATATACCCACATTAACAATAACAATAAGTATTAAAAAAGACAAGCTAGAATAGCAATTTACAACATAGAATAATATAAATTCCTTTGTTCCATAGATTTACTTTAAGTTACTTGAAGTCAAAAAGAACAATAACAGTTATGTTTGCAAATAAACTATTAGTTCCTTGGAAATTTCATGATAATGTATTAAATATGGTGAACACTGGATAACTGTTTCTCCCTAGTATAAAACTACATAGCTGCGTTCACCACAACAATTTAAGTTAGAGACTGAATGTGTAATACTGAGATAGTGAATATTGACTGAGATATTTAGAATATGTATTACGTATGCCCATCCACTGACTATATAAACCCTCGATGATGGAAGATATCGAAGAAAGTTAGAGACAAGCAAACAAAGACAATGACATCAGTCTATTAAGATGGCGACAGTTAGACCGATCCACGTGGGTGAGTAAGCGGAGACCATCTGACTGGAATCAAAGTGGTTATTGTAACTACTTGATAGACTTGAGTGACATGGTTTAAAATCATTCGCAATGGTACATGTACAGTCACGCTGTCTTTCTTTAGGTCTTAGGTGTCTAAATTCCTCATAAAATTATTTTATCCCACCAAACTACATTTTTTTTAATCGTATTTTTGATGCCTAACTCTTTCTGTTACCTATAAAACCGTTACTACCTTTACTCCTCTGAAATTGGCTCTAGGAATTTCATATTGATGTGCTGATTTGTGGCAATTTGAACTGATGAATACATGTGCAAGGTTTCACGTAGAGTATGACCGATCAACTGAAATGAATATCTCAAGGAGGATATTTTTAATTTTATGACTATGTCAGAATCTAATGCTTCACTAATTTTAAGTCACATACTAGAACAAAACAGTCGTCTATTGATACCGTGTTGAATGATTTTCCGGTCTACCAGTTAGATACCATCTATCTATGACCATAATTAACTTTAAACAATAATTGAAATATGGGATAATACCGTGGATTCGAATTAATTCATAAATATAGGGAGATGAAGAAAATTTCAAGAATTATTCACATGAAAGA